GAGAAAACCGCGGCGCGGTATGGTACGCTCGAGCTAGAATCAGTCACGGAGGCGTAATGGTTGATTGAAAAGATTATTTACTTACACCCAAGGTGGTCGCGGTGTAGGCTGGTCAGCTTTCCAGGTGCAGGTCCGCTTGAGTCCTCGTTGGAGGACTCTGACAAACTCGGTTCTTTGACCCCAGAGTGGTTTAGGCTCCGCGGGTTTAGCAATTCTTTTCTCACGGAGTAGCTGAATCTCCGTGGGTTCTTGTTCGGTTCCCAGGTCCCCCGGAGCTGTTAAGACTCCGTGGGTTCGAAAATTGGGTCCATAGGATAGGGATACGTCTAGGGTTGCGATCGACGATGGGGAGAGGCTAGAGGTTATTGGCCCCGGAGTTGTTAAGGCTCCGAGGGTTCGGTAAATAGGTTCCCCGGAGTTGTTGAAGCTCCGTGGGTTCGGCAAATTAAACCTCTGTTGCCCTCTTAAGGAAAAAGCTGGGTTCGTAGGGATCGGCAGCACTTAGAAATCTTCACGCTCTTTTCCCGAACTCCACGTGCTTTCTCTCTCTCCGACTTGGGCGGAAACTACCCAAGCCTTTTGTACGGCTAGCAAGCCAATAGCTAGCCGCCACGTGTGCCTATATTAAGATTGGCCAATAATGTGGCAGAAATCTTAATACAAATGGCGGGAACTCCTTTGCATCGTACATCACTAGAATGCAAAAGAAATGCACCATGCAAAGAAGGCTACAAAACTGGCGGGAAATACTCTCCTGCACGCGGGTTCTCTGTTACAACAGAACACTCCACCGTGCAAAAGAGCTGCAATTTAGCGGGAACATAATTTAGCGGTGCCGAAGCACACACAAACAAAAAAACCACAACTTTGGGTTGTGACAAGCCCTAATGACTGCATCATCTCCTGGGTAAAATGTAATAACTGTTCAAGAGCACAATGCAATATAGCAGCGTAATTAGGAGAGATTATACTCTTTCATATACCTGAAACTACTATGAGAATTCAGGATGAATTTATTGAATCAGATAGAATTGGCCAGTACACAGGATTTCTACACTGGGGAAAGAATGCTGTAGATTTTTAATGATCTGTCACCTCTGACACTAGAGTGTCCTCTAACACCATTAAGAAGCAACCAGAATACTTATCACCTGCTGTGTCTGGTCCTCAAACTGTGTATTTTAATTGTATCAGGTTAAATTTGGGAGAGTTTTATATTAAAATTAAAGTCTGAACTCAGCAACCTACCTTCAGTTTGAATCCATGTCTAATTTGTATGTGGAGTATGTATTGTAACAAACCTTAATTTAGTCAAGTACTATATAGCAGTCACTGTAGTCTTACCTAGACATGAGGCTTACCTAGTTTATGAAAAAAAAAAGGAAAAAGGTATTAGTAGACCATTTGCTAAACAATTCATGAAATGATCATTGCAAAACCCTGAACAGCAAAAAAATCACCTGTCTTCTAGCTTGATAACAAAGCCACAAAATTCAGACTAGATCCATCAAATTTCCTAGAATTTACAAACCTTTCCAGCCAATTTTGTGTGTTTTCTCTTCAGATTGTATGGGAAAGCTAACATAACATAGAGCGTTTTGTAATTTCGTACCACTATCTGCTATTTTCAAATGAAATCAAGTAATTAAGTTCCAGGTTAATTCTGTGCATCAAACCCCAAAACTGAAGCTGTGAAGATCAGACAGGAAGGTTTGTACAAACCCTTACATGGCTCTGTTGGCCAGTGCAGAGTGCCCACAAGTTACTTAAAAAAGGGATCAACAATTCCTAACTTACAGAAAAGGCTTTTCTGAATTTTACTATGGAGGGAATTAAAACAGCAATAATTCCACTAACAGGCTCCTACATCAGTGAAAGGAAATGGAGTTAAACCAAAGCACAAGCATCCTTTTCCTTCCCTACAAAAAGCCGGGTAAAATCAATGCTATTGGAAATTCTTAAATTTGGGGGCCTGACTGGCCAAAGGGCAGTGAGGATTTCCAAATCTACTTCTCTAACCTCACTGCACCTATCTGTAAAAGATCTATAGTTGTATTTATGTATTAAATAACTAATTTTATTTATTAGATTTACATGCCACCCTTAAGCTTCTGACATTTTCAGAGGAAGAGGCATACTAGAAATACAAATGCATACATTCTAGTAGCAGTTTAGTTTAAATTCTCCTTTAACCTTTAAGATTCTAACCTGGGGAGATACAAATTGTTCGTTTGCTTTTTTAAATAAAAATGCAATATTACATTCAATTATTATTTTTTTCTTTTTTACAACCAACTTAATATACATTTAAAATTATGATAGTCCGTAAGAGTCTAAGCTCAGTACAGTCAAGCAGAAAAATTTAAAAGGAATAAAAATACTCTTAAAAAGCATGTGCTGGCTGCCAACATTTTAAAGAAAAGTACTGAAGCAGGAGACGTCTCTGGCAAAGCACCTGGAACCAGAGTTTGTTGAAGTGACAGGCAGTAATAATATTTTCTTGCTCGCAGCGAAATCAACGTAAGTTGAGTCCACAAGTTCATACAACGCTGATAAACCCACTGGGACCTGAAGAAGCGGAAGCCACCGTGAATGCCGCGCTGTTGCCGTCCTTTCAGGACCGGCGTAGGGCTGAAGTGACGTTGCAGCCGCGATGGCCCAGGCCACGGCAGCACGCGGGCCACAGGCAGCCTGGGTGCGGGGCAGGCAGTTGTGGGGCAAGGAGCAGAAAGCAGAGCAGCGGCGGCGGAAAGGAGCGGCCCTCGGGCGGGGCGCGGAGCTGATTTGGGGCAGCGCAGGAGTGGTTGCGCCAGGACTTTTCTTGGCTCCGCCGCGCGGTCGGGCGAGAGTCAGCCAAGCTTCTGGGTGTCTCCACGGGGAAGGCGGCACCGCCGTCCCGCGCTGGCCCCGGGGAAGCGCAGGGCGCCTGGCTGCGCGGCCGTTGCCGGGCCGGGGACAAGCTCCGGCTGCCTGGAGACGCGTGGCTCCAGCCTCGGGCCCTGCGTCGGGCGCGGGCAGCAGCGTCGTGGGCTCCCCAAGCACTTTCTCGCCGGCGTTTTCCTTGCGTCCTCTGCAGGCCTCTGGGGAGCCGCCGGGGCCTGCCCATGGCCATGGCAAAGGAGAAGCAGAAGGCGGTCGCCTTCACCTCCGCTGCCCGGCGGCAGGAGCAGGAGCTGGAGGAGGAGGAGGAAGAAGCCGTGGAAGCGGAGCTGGAAGGCAGCTGCTCCGAAAGCAGCTTGGGAGCCGCCTTGGGTGCTGGGCGCCTCAGCCCCGCAGACCCGGGCGGCCCAGAGGAGCTCCATGGCCCACACGTGGCCACCTGCACCTTCACCATCTCCCTGGCGGTGCCAGTGGCCACAAGTAGGTGCCAGCGCCTAGTTCCCTAGATCTGTGTGCCAGGCCCTGCGGCTTGGCAGAAACTCACTTATATTCCCACTGGGGGAGTCTCCTGCCAGTGGGTTGTGGGTACAGCCCTCTGGAAGATGGCAGATTTATAGGGGCTGACAACAGTCTAATTGTTAGGGTCTGTTTTGAGATTGGTGACTGAAAGTGGTATATGACAGCTCTTCCCTAATCCAAGGTGCTCACAGTGATGATGTTACCTTGTTATTTCTAGTCAGTTATTAGCTAATCAGTCATTAGTAGGTCATCCTAATTGAGTTCCTTATGGAAACTTTGGAAAGAGAGGCCAGTATGCAAATGGAGATGACAACAAGTGGTTTAACCCCACATCAGGATTAGAAAAGAGTAGAAGAGGGCTCAGTAGAAAAGAGTAGTTTGGGCAGCTGCTACAGTGCTGCACTCTCATATAAATGTATTTGTTTGGAGGAATCCCTACTTCCTGCAAGAAGAAAATAAGTATGTGTATACACTTAATGCTAATCTTTTTAATAACAATAGCGGGGGTCGAGCTGCACCAGTCACCCCTCCCAGCATGCTGCACCTCTACATAGTTTATCACCAAGCCTGCAGGATCTTTGCATTCAGAAGCGTCCAAGAGACATCTTCTCTTCATGCTGTCAAAAAGAGATCCCTGTATAGCTTGAGGGTCAGGCTTTTACTGTGGTAAGGATAAGGCTTGTTATTAAAAAGATTAGCACGCTGCCGGCCCATGTGACAAAAAAACTGCCCCATCCTGAGCAGTGCTGAGTTGGGGGCCACACATCTGCCCCGTGTCCCTCCACTGGTCGCCTGTGCATTACAAATCTTACCTGTTTTTTCTGGACTCACCATTTAAACTGACAATTTTTGTATCTGTGTTTATAAGGTACACACTCAGCTATCAGTCTGGAAATTGTCTTACCTGTGAGAAATCCAGTCCTTTTTTCAGTTGGCATGGAGGGTACCTTTGCAACAGAACTGGCTTGAGTCTGCTATGACAGAGGTTTTTTGGGTGTAGAAGTAAGCATGGGCAACAAACACCTGTCAAGTGGAGTCCAGCACTGTGCAAGTTACCTGTGTAGCAACAGGCCAGATACGTATAGACTGGGAAGCTGAGAGGCTGAAGGATCTGTTGCTATACTGGCGAAGAAGGCCCAGTTTTGCCTGATTAAGAATTGCACAGTTGAGTACTGACTTAGTCATGAGAGAAGTATTGTACACAGCAGTAACACAGGTTATTGAAACATACCACATGTACCCATGCAGCAGTTGAATTATTCTGGAGTCATGATGTAACTCTGGCCATCACAGTGCCTATGTATGCCAGAGAATGCTTCTTGATAATATTTCAAACTTTCAAAAGTCATATTCTTAAATATTTTTTCCTAGGTCAGAGACATAAACCATCCATTTCATTTGAAATGCAAAGAAGGAGGTCTGATATTGGCAAAGATGCAAGCATTCCAAAAATACGGCGTTACTATCACATGGAGTACTTTCTCCTACCAGATGACATTGAACCTAGAAAACTTGATTTGGTGCTGTTTGGTACGGTGGCCAAGTTTTTTTTAGAATCTGAATCCAAGGTAAAAAAACATATGTTCTTTATTATTCTGGAAATAGCTAGCTTTATTTGTTGAGCATAACATATATTTCTAAAATAGTTATGCAAGATGCCTGTCACAGCACCTTAAATCTGAAGAATCAGTGTATTATGTGCTGAAGCTAGGAGGATGCTTTCAAATCACATGTGGGTGAGCCGTGCTAATACTCAGTTAGCCACTACATAGGCCTTTTCTAGATATAGGCTGTACCACTTAAAATCTACCAATGTGGACACCAAGTCTGTAAACCTATGTCTCATTTGAGGTAGTCCTGATTGATCTGAGTCAAAACTTGAGACCAAGCAGGAGGTCTTTACCCATGTAGCCATGCCAGGCTACATTGCTGCTGCTCTGTCAGTAGGTAATCAGGGAGAGCAAACAGCCTGACAGGTTTGACTCTGGAATGACTGGCAAATAACTTGAATGACCTGTGATTGACTTAAACATGCATTATTGTCTGGGGGTGGGGAGAAACTTGTTTAGTACATTTTTTTCTTGTGTACTTCACAGGTACTTAAGTGGGATAATGGACTGGGATCTGAGGACAGAAGGCTTTCTCCTAAGAGAAATGATACATCTGTTTACACTCTAGCATATCTCTGTAAAGCTGCTTAAACTGGAATAGTTTATTCTGCTGCTCAGCAACTTTTAATAAGCTGCAAGCTGGAACAGGCCAGCTCTGGTCTGACATGGTGGCTTGAGAAAAAATTATTAGTGATTCTCTTACAGAATAGTACATTAGAATTTGGAGAAGCTAACTTAAATTTCTAGTAGTTTCCTAAGAAATGTCCTAATAACACTGTATGTTTTAATATGTTCCGTCTATATTAATAGAACACAATATTGTTAGACCCAAATTGAGTAAAGATGTACACACAGATTACAGTGCATGTGGAAGTAATTTGGGTAATGTTTTAATAAGGAGGTATTTATAGCACTAGTTTAATTCAAAGGATCAAAAAAACACTTTATAAACTATTGGCTCCATCATGCAAATTGTTGAGTACCCTTAAAACTGAATGACTGGTTGAGGAACAAGGGGAAAACTTAATAAAATATTTGAATTGTAACATTTAAAAATGTAATTAACCCTTTCATTGTTTGACCTTTTAGGCTATGCAAAATAAATCATTAATACTGAGACTTTTCTAAGCCAACCAGGGAGTATTCAGGATGGATAATATTTTTATTACAGTCTACTGAAGAAATTACTTGTGAAAAGGACATGCTTATAGCACAGAGAAATCTCAAGACTATTTTTATTTATGTTCCCTCTTCTTTGTAAAGTGATTAGCTATCTGAGCTATCTTTTGTATAGAACACTAATCATGATTTTATCTAAACATGCTTATATTTTTTATTATGAGAGCTATGGACCAAATTCTTCCTTTTGTTGCTTCTCTAACTACAAGGATGCAACCTGAGTGTAAAGGAGAACCGAAAGTGGCCACACACCCTCCAATTTATTCATCTTCTCTTCCTTGCCCCACATATATCCCTCTCTTGGCTACCCAATGGTCTAGCTTCCAAAGGAGCACTGGAGAGGGCACTGAATAAAATGTCCAACCTGTAGTCTGGTGGCTAGAGTACTGGGAAGTCAGAAAAACACAGGTTCAGGCCCCTTTTGTGTGAATGGGACCTGGAGCCCATGTCTTCTGTTCCCTGGACAAATGCCCATTTAGCTATTGAGACTAAAACATGGGAGTGGCCTGATCCTCCCCCCTCCCCTACCCCCTAGCATCTGAGCACCCTCTAGCCATGGGTTTTTGTCAGCTATCTTTTTGTAACTAAAGCCATAAACAGATACTACTTTTCTGGTGGGGGGTGAGGGCAAGGCATTTTGTCCCATGTAAACTTCAAGTACCACCAAAGTATACAGGATAAAATGTACTATTGATTTTTCCCAGGACATTGAGTGTGTCTGTTTGGTTATTATAGGTCAGCATCCTGGGATAAGCTGGCCAGGCAGTCCTCCAGCAATCCTACAATGTACCACTCCCACCCTGACCCTGGCTGCTCTTGAACCCAGGGTGGCTGTTCTAGCATGGGGTGCTGGTAGTGCTACTGCTGATGGAGGGGAGAAGTGGCACTCACTGCTGGCGGTGCTAGCTGATGATGAGTATTCAGCTGCTTTTGCCAGCACTTGGCTACACATCAGGCAAGAACCAGGTCTGTGGTGGCCTTGACTGCAACTTAGTCTGTTGCCAACAGATACTGGTACTGGAAAGTCAAGTATCTTGTGAGCCGTTATCTAACATTCTAGGTCAGGGCTCTCCTCTGTAGAGGAGTTGGATGGACCGTTCTACAAGTCAAACTTATGTCGGACCACCATATTCTCCAGTAAGAGGGCAGCAAAGATTAGTTGGCTTCCTTTGTGACAATGAACAGCTTTTGCTTCCACTGCAGAGTTAGCTTTATCTGGCTCACATTGGCCGGAGTGCTGGGATCCCTGGGACAGGAGAGGACCCTGGCATTTGGGAGAAGGGTGAAGCTCCCCACTTTCTTCTGCTGTTAGCTTCTGGGGGGCCGGAATTTTGCTGGGCAGGGGCTGGATGGCCTTTGACCCATGCCCCTCAATTCCCAGGGTCCCAGGGCCATCTGTGGGTGGTTAGTAAATGGAAGCTACTGAAAGAGGCTCCCCCCAAACTTGTCCACAGGGACACAGCCCCCAGCAGTGATCATAGCATGCAGCGTGCTCCGAAGCCTCCTGCCAACCAGGGCTGTTAGGGGAACACAGAGTCCCCACTCCCTCCATCTTGATGTTGGACATGCCAGGGGCAAACTGCTTCATCACTTTGGGGATATGGGAATTCCTGAACACACTAGTGTTTATGCATCTGGCCCGACAGGTCAGCATTGATGTGGGTGAAACAGCTGTAGTGATCCACTAGTATCTGCATCACCACCGAAAAGAGGATGGCGACATGCACTGTAAGTAGCAATGCAGTTTGGGAACCCCAGGGTGACAAAATCATGACCAACTACAGGTCCACCATGTTTATGATCCAGGGTGCCATCTGCTACTGGACTGCCAGTCACACCTGCTGCATTGCATCATCTGCTGTGGGGATGTGCCAACACCAAATCTGTTGGCAATGGACTGGAGATTATTGGAAGTAGTGAGCTTTCATATTGCAGTCATGACTTGCTTCTCTGTGGTCAGGGTTGCCCTTATCCTGGTAATTTGCCACTCAAACCAGGGCAACAGCTTGGTGCAGATCTCTAGAAAGATAGGTTGGGACCTGCAGAAATTCATCAGCTGCTGTTCATTGTCCCAGGTGGCCGGAATGATCTGCTCCCACCAGTTGCTGCTCATGTCTCTGGCCTAGAAATGCTATTCAACGGTAGCTGAGATGGTAGCAGCATGCTAGCAATGGTAGTTACAGAAGATAGTAGAGGATAGTAGAGCAGCAGAACTGATGGGCAGTCCTATCTGGTCGCTCCCAGTTAATCTTACCCAGCTGACCACACAATGGGTGCTTCCACTTCATTGGGGAATCCTTGGAAACCTCTGGACACTACACCAGAAACCTCTGGACATGAAGCATGCTGGAATGTGTACTTTTGCCAGCCACATGCTAGCAGAGGAGCAGCAATGCAGTGACCCTTGGAAGGGTTGACATGTACAGAATTCTGCCATAACTCTTTCAATTTGGGTCATGTAATCTGGCCCACAAGAAATGTAATGCCTGAATTTAGGCATGCAGAACAGGCATGTGTACATAACCACATGCCTGCCTAGTTGGTGCAGAGCCTACTGAGCATGCTCAGTCTACATGCGTGTGCTTGTATATCCACGCGACAGGGGTTATAGAATTGCAAGCTGTGTAAGTGCCAAAAAGGCCACTTGCAGAAAGCTGCCATATAGGTGCACAATGAGTAGTAGAATTCTGCCCTAATTATTTCAGGCTCGTAGGTTACTTAAATGGTTTTGAAAATTTGTCCAAGCTTAAACGTAGAATATCTCTTTAGATGGCCCTTATACCCAGGGTCTACCATCCAGATTTACATCTGTAGCTTTTAATATTTGGCTTAAAGTAAGTGAACATAGAGTCATTTAAAAGAAAATCAGTGCAAGAAATGGCTATAAAACTGAAATATGGTTTTGGCTTGAACAATTCTGGGTGATTACACTGCTTTCAAGAGCTATGTCTTGCTCACTTTACTCATCAGAATAATCCTACTGAAGATAACACAGAGGAATTGAGACTAAATTTAGACTCTCTAAATTTTAGTGACCATAGGGTTGTCATATTCCCTTGTCTATTAAAGTACTAGTGTATTTACTTTGCACGTGTGCTTTTCAAATTCCTCCCTAATACAAAAGTATGCAGTTTCTAGTCATGATATTTTTACTAAGTGGAACAATTGCCACTATAGTAAAACTTTCTCAGAATTAACAGTTTGACATCAGCTATTTCATTAATTCATTCTGTGTTGCAGTGTTATCTTGGCAATTCTGTTGTAACAATCACAGATATGCTTCAGGAATTATAGGAGGATGGGAGGCAAAAACAAGCAACTTCCATCTTTTGCATAGTTCACTGATCTTCCAGTCACTTCAAGGACACAACATAATAAGGACCATCTAGGAAAAATTAAATTGAAATTTGCTTCTAGGTAAAGAGCATAATTAAAGAATCTGGATAGAAGTCTGTTGCTGAAAATGCATTACAATTTAATTTGACATTTTTCCCTTTCCTCCTGCCACATCATTGAATAATAGTGACCAAAGTTTATCCTTCTGTTTCATAACCCATTTAGTTTTGGTATTGCACTTCTGATGTGGGGCAACCCTGCCCTTGGCTTCTCCAAAGACAATGAGAAGAGTCTGTTGCACATAAAGGCAAAATCTTGCCCATATTCTTCATTAATTTGCAATTGCCTGTCATCAAAATAATTGTATATAAACTTATGCAACTCACCTGGGCCCCCAGGCTAGAAGCTGTGGTGGCAGTGGGGCAAGCAGGGGGTTAATGTAGCTTTGGCTTTTATAACTCCTACTCCCCCACTCTGTGCCTCCCATTGACACATCCCCAACAGGGCTCTTAACAGTGGGCCCTGCCCCTCATCCTGGTGCCTCTTGAGACCTGTGGCCCAGGTAAAATTACTCCAAAGGCTATATCTTTGACACCCTGGTCTTTAAAAAAAAATCACTCAGGCTTATTGTCTAGTATTGATTTTTGAACACAGTAGTACAGTTAAAATGCTTTCTCTTCATCATTTGACTTTCCCATTCATCTTCCCTTTTTATCTTGTTTTATGCTTTTTCTTTTTTTTTTTTGTTGCCCTTTCACTGTCAGCCAGCAACTCCACAAGTTCAGCCAGAGCAATACAAACAAAAATACTCAGCGGCAATAATTTCATCAGTGAGTGAATACAAAACCATAGAATAGTTCTAGAGACAGGTAGTTGTCACAACCCAAAGTTGTGATTTTTGTTTGTGTGTGCTTTGGCACTGCTAAATTATTTTCCCGCCAAATTGCAGCTTCTTTGCACGGTGGAGTTTTCTGCTGCAGAGGAGAACTCCGGTGCAACGGAGGATTTTCCCGCCAAATTTGTAGCTTTCTTTGCATGGTGCATTTCTTTTGCATCTCAGAAATGCACGGTGCAAAGGAGTTCCTGCCATTTGTATTTTAATTCGAGCCCCATTATTGGCTTGTGTTAAATTATGCACACATGGCGGCTAGCAGTTGGCTTGCTAGCCGTATAAAGAGCTTGGGTGGTTTCTGCCCAAGTTGGAGAGAAAGCAATTGGAGTCCGAGAGGGAGAGCGTGAAGATCTCTAAGCGCTGCAGATCCTTACAAACCCAACGCATTTCTTAAGAAAGCAACAGAGGTCTAAACAGCCTCTGGCCTATCCCCGTTGCCTAGCGCAATCCTAGACGTATCCCTATCCTATATACTCAATTGCCGAACCCACGGAGCCTTAACAACTCCGGGGCCAGAGAGCCAAACCAAACCCACGGAGCTTCGACAACTCCGTGGGAAAGAAATTGCCGAACCCGCGGAGCCTTAACAACTCCGGGGCCCAAGAACCGAGTTTGTCGTAGTCCTCCAACGAGGATTTAAGCGGAGCTGAACCTGGGAAACTGTCCAGCCTACACCGCGACCATCTTGGGTGTAAGTAAATAATCTTTGAATCAACCACTACGCTTCTGTGACTAATTCTAGCCCGTGTGTGCCTTGCCGCCGCGCGGTCCCTTCTGACCCTGTGTGCCTGGGCTGCTGGCCACAGCCCGCGTGCGCAAAGACGGGTCCGCATATCGCTCCCGGCTCGCACATGGCGACATGGACGGGATCGGGAGGTGGCCCGCACAGTAGTGACTAATACCCAGACATTAAAAAACTAGTTATTTAATGTGTCACGTGATCCCTCATAATGTACATACAATATAAATCCTGTACTGAATAAAGCAGACCTCAGTCTCATTCAACATTCATTGTGCATGTTGATGACAACAGGGGTTCTGATATGCTATTAGGTTTCTTTTTCAGTAAGACATGGTATCCCATTTCTGCCTGTCTATATATGGACACCCATTAATTGTTAATTTTATCATTTCATGGACACCAGTTATCAAGGTATTTATCAGCTTCCAGAGAGAAGCTCCATTTTAATTGCATTAATAGGATTCAAGCTGTTTTAGGATGAAAACTTTCTCATTTTTTCTATATTTGAAAATAGCTAAACTTTTTAGAGCATAATTTTTAAGGAAGAAACATTTGCTTCCTGATTGAGATGAGTGTACTAAACATTAGCCAGTGCAAGAGCTATGTGGCTAGGTGGCAGGCAGGAGTCTGTCCTCTTGCTGACTGGGCACAATTTATGCCTGTGGTCAGGATCCACATGTGAATTTAATTGCAGTTAATTACCCCACTGTAAGATAGTACTACCCCCAACAGTACTAACTTATAAATTAGCATAAATTAGTTTACTGTGGTTTAATAGCATTGTGCATGTAGACACTGGGTGTGTCTACACATTCATTAATGTGCCATAGTTACTGTACATTAAGTTTAGTACTTGCATAACCAAGTACTGAATCAATAAGCAGCAACAGGCACTACTGCATAGTAGTGCTGCTGCACAGGTTTTTACAGACACTAACTGTGCAGTAGCCTAATATTACTGCACAGAACATATTAGCACAGGTTTTGCCCAAAACACTACTGTGCAGTGGTATGAGGCTACTGTGCAGTTAGTGTCTTGTGTAGACGCACCTAATGATGCTTTACTCTGCAATTAATTAGTCTACTCCTCAGTTAAGTGCACATGTAGCCACGGCCACTGTGTAGTAGGTCAGCCCATATTTAGTTTATAATGCATTTTTAGTATATGATAAAGTATGCTAGAATTACGAAACCCCGACCACTAAAAATTTACCTTTGTCTGTTTTGAAACATGAAGGCATGAAAGCCTTCATATGCCTTTTTTGGGAATAAATTAAGACCAAACAATGGTTACCTTTCTCATATGAGTAGTTTCATTGATCATTGCCTTAAGTGGGAATTACAAGGGCAGGTCTTATATTTTCCTTTACCTTATACCTTACCTTTCATTTACCCTCAATTACCTATCGTATTCATAGAGTAGGTTTAAAATGACTAATTGGTGCCTTGCCTTTGTTATTTCCTTTTTGTATTCCCAGTGCTTTAGGTAGACTAATTTCTTTCATGCTTTTTTTAAGATTCAGATTCTCTATATTTTGCCTACTAACAAATAAAAAAGTCAGTTGCATCATGGAGAAGGATGTACTGACAATCCTAGAAAGCAGAGTCCTTCACTCACATAACCTCATAGGCTTTAGGGGTTCCTAAAGTTTTGACCTTGAAGGGCCATTTCAAAGGGGCAGTTTTGAGTAGCAGGCTGTATCAGGGGCTTGTGGGCCACATCATAGGATCTTGTAGGTCCCATGTTGCACAAGCCACACTTTGGGAACTGTTACTTTAGAATTTACAGTTGGTTTTACTATGTGTGGTTTAATTTGGTGTGCATTGATTCAACATGTAAAAAAGAATAGTATTTTATTAAACCTCTATATGCTGTCTCATGCTGGCAGTTTAATTTGTATTTGTTTGTTTGTTTTGATCCCTCATCTTTATAAAATCTGGATAAGATCCGATCTTAGTTGGATAATACAATTTTGGTTAGGTCAACCAAATGTGCTGCTGTATCACAGCCAGCTTTAATATAGACTAACAATTATTAAGTACAAGGTTTATGTAAAAATTTCTGATAAGTTCCAGCATGACCTAATTCTTATTCCCACTTCATATATATTTTCTTTCAAGACAACTGTTCATAATGTAGTCTTTTACCTTTCTTCTAATTGGTGGTGAGTTATTAAGGGAGAGCTGTACTTCCTGGGTACCATATGTTACTTTACTCCTCTCTCTAGTTACTTGAATTCGTTTTTTACTTGTCTCCCTAGTTACTAGGGAGACGAGACTTTACTTGTCTCCCTAGTTACTTGAATGCTAAGGCTGCCTTCATGCCAGGCCTACTTTAACTCTTGTATGGTGTTTTGTAATCCTAAATCTCTTAGAATAAAATATGAACTCTTTCTCTGTGTGGATCCTTTTTGTAAATAAATAGCTTCAGACTGTATGTGAATGTTAACTCTTCGGTACTTCTCATGTTCTCTCTAATGGTTTTCATCTCTCTCTTTTTTTTTTTAACAAGGTTGTGAAGCCATGGTTTGAAAATGACCAGATATGGGTCTCTTGGAATCACAGAATTGATATTAATGTTACCAATAAATTTTTAACAAAACTGAGAGAACACAAAATAACGTTAAAGCTATGGGATACCAGGGACAAAGTTTGTGCAAAAGCTAAGTTTAGTAAACCAAGGCTTTCATATTTACAAGCAGAGGATGTAGATGCAATTGGTGAGTATTAAAGGAAAGAAGCAAACTCCTTATAAAATGTATCCTAAGAAAAAGGTCCAGCATATGCAAGAAAACAGATTTTCCTTTTAGTTTTAGCACAGGCTCACAATATTTCATACCTGCACGTTTTCTCTTTTTCTCAACTACCTTGTATGTGCCTGCTGTCTAATCAATGGTAAGATTATCATTTCAGATCCATGTAGCATTCAAAATGTTGCTATATTTTTATACTGTAATAAATGTTTCTGGAATGTCCTCAATGGACTCAGAGGCAGAGTACTAACATGTTGAGCGTGTAGATTGGATGATGCTATGTTGCCATAGCAATGAGGTACAGCAACATAGCTCGTCACTACAGTAACATAGCGTTGGCTGGTACTGTGATGCCGCCACTACTGCAGGGTAGCAACAGATTACTGCACACTAGCACGTTGCACAGTCATTTAGTACTTGCTAAAGTAAGTACCAATAGTGCAGTGGGGTGCACATATAGACTTGCCCATTGTTACCAAGTCAAATGCTGTATTTTCTGGAATACAGCACACACTTTCCCCCCTAAAATCAGTTCCCCAAAATAGGGGTGTGTATATTAAGTGGGAAGCTGATTTTCTGAATGGGATAGAAGCACTCTGTTTTGCTTCCTGCTCCACAGTGCAGCAGCTGTTGCATTACCATTGAGGCAACTGAAGGAGTCAGTTAACTTAATGGCTCATTGTTCTTCACTCCAGAGGTGTTAACAATTATTTATTTTTGTTAGTGGTCTAGGTAACCTTTCTTTGCGCAATTTTTCTGTCTGCTAGCTGTTCCTGATCTCTCTCCTCTTATTTCCGCCTAAAATCAAACATCTACTCATGGAGACCAGTTTCAGCAGCAACTAGGTTAAGTTAAGCAGGAAAGAAAGGGTGAGTCATTTAAAGATTAGACTCTGTCCTTGCTCTATGCAGCCATAACTCTGGAAAAATCTTTCCCCCCCTTTATTCTGCCTTTCAAAAGCAAGATTTGTATTATATTCTGGGGTAAGTGGTATGCAAAAAAATACAGCGTTGTCTCAAATGCTCAGAACTCTGTCAGAGTATAGAAGCTGATGAGAGTTTTAATGGAGCATTAGGTTCCTATCTTTCAAAGGGGTGTGAATGCCTGATCCTCTACTACTGAGATATTACCATTGTGGGTGCCTGGAAACTCTGTGCATGCCCTCAGAGTGTTTTCTGATGAATCCTTTAGAGAGTCTGTGGTGGGGAGGGTGGAGACTGGCTATGTTTTTCCAGGGTGATGAATACAGAAAGGGATGACATGATAAAAGTTCTACCTTCCAGATCACATACCATAGGAGTCACTGCAAGTAGGGCCACTGCTACCCAATTATTCCTGTGGCTGCTTGCTTCTCCTCGCTGGTGCTGATCCAGCCGGGCCCGTCCCATCCTGAACAGCACTCAGCAAAGCCGGCCCAGCTGCTGCTTCTCTGCGTGCTGCTCGGAATGCAACAGGCCCGGCCAAGTCAGCACCGGCGAGGAGAAGTGGCGGCTGAGACATGCTGCTTGGGACCGGACAGGCCAGGCCAGCAGAGGTTAGTGCGCAGCTTTGGGCAGCTGTTCCCAGAGCCCCAGGGGCTCCTGCCACAACAGCCCGGAGGACTCCACCCCACTTGTGCTGTGCCCAGTATGCATGGAGGCAGAGTTGGGAGCCCCCCAAGCCCAGTGTCCTGCCCCTGCCAAGCAGAATCCTCTTGTGGGCAGGACGATTGCACCCCATCCCACAGAGCTGTGTGGGCCAGGCTGGGCTCCACTTTGGGTGCCACATGGGGCCCAGCTGTGGCCCAAGTTTGCAGAGCTCTGAGGCAGCCCCCACTCCCCCCCAGCTACCACCTTCCCAAGGGCCTGGGCAGGCCAGCCTACCTGTGGTGCCTCCCCCTTCACCTGCTTCTCCCTGCACCTCTCTCCCTCTCTCTCGCTTTCCCTCTCCCTCCTTCCTTCTCTCCCTCTTCCCTCTCTCTTCTTTCTCCCTTCTCTCTTTCTCTTCCCTCTATTTTCTGTTCCCTGTCTCCTCTCTCCCTCCTCGCTCTCTCTCTTTCTCCTCCCCCTTCCCTCCCTCTTCCCTCTCTTTTTTCTTCCCTCTCTCTTCTCTCCCTCTTGCCTCTCTCTTCCCTCCTCCCTGCCTCTTCCCTCCCTTCCTCCCTCTTTCCTCTCCTCTGTTGCCTCTATGAAGTTTTATTTATTGTCACCAGGTTTAGAATTTTTTGAAAACCTGGTATTTACCATAAAAAAAAACATTTATGATTATTAACTATATTAATATGTAGTGCATCCTGCCATATACCCCATGCCCCAGTTTTGGTTTTTGGCATGCCAGCACTCCAGCACCTTACAAGTTAAACATTGTGGGGGTGGGTTTCAGCACTCTGGCCAAAAAACATTGCCTACCCCTGACATAGGCCATGTGACAGAGTGTAACTTCTAGTTCCAAGGCCATACTACCCCCTCCCAAAAGGAGTACTTCCGGAGGCAAAGGGTAGGGGTTAGGGGGCGGGACTTCCAGCCACAAAATGGCGACCAGGGGGTGGGACAACTGTCAAGGGGTGGGGGCTACCCACGCGGCCCTTGACAGATCACCAAAATTTGTGAAGTGGCCCTCCAGTTGAAATAATTGCCCACTCCTGTTGTAGCCTAACTAAATCAGACATGTATAGCATAAGCTTTCATGTCTCCATGGAAATCCTGGCCCCATGCTGTCACGGCCCCACCTCTTTTGGGGTCTCCATGGGAACTAGCTGCAGCAATGTGGGCAGGGTCTGCTGGGAAATGGAGTCTGACTGTCAGCCTGATCCAGCAGTTTGTCCACCCCCAGCTTAGACCAAATTTAACACAATCTGGTCTGCAGAGGCACCTATATATGTACCGAACGTCTGCTCTGACACAAGCTAATTTGCATGCATCGGAGCAGATTTGATTAATCGAGTCTGCTGGACTGTGTTAATTAATGTGCTGCAGCAGCCTCCATGTCACATCCGTTCGGTATCCCCATGCTTCAAAATGGCAGGGGCACTTGAACTAAAGCTTGTTGAATGAGCTTCAGTTCAAGCATCTCCACTGCCATTTTGAAGCATGGGACATTGAATACCCATGACACTACAGGCACTTTAATTAAAGCAGCTCTCAGAGCCTCCTTAATTAAAGCACCCTCCACCACCACCATTGCAGAGCACATGTATAGACACCCTAGATGATTTGTTGTTTCACAATTTCCTGTTCAAGTTAATTTTCTATTATTCTTTCTATGGTTTTAAAAGTGTTATTGTCTAAAAACAGCAACCTTGAGGTCATTGATGGAATGTCCACAGAGGTTAAAGTGTTCTGCCACAGGATTGTGTCTTTCTGGAATTCATGTCAGATTTACGTCCATTCATTCTTTCATGTAAGGATCACTCTGTCTGTCCGATGTAGAAAGCAGAAGGGCACTGTAAGCAGGTAGTGGCATGTGTGACATTGACAGAGGAGCCAGTGAATGAACCTAAGATATTATACTTTTCTGATTTAGTCTATAAAGTGCAGATCTACCCTGCCTTCTGCCTTCACTTCCAAACCCATAGACATTAGGGAACTCATGGATTGATTTCCCTTAGATCATAGAAAGGCCGATAGTATAACATGGGGGAGATGCTTTACCTGCTATGACCCAAAGGTGGGGGCAGCATTCAGGTAAAGTACAGCCAAAATAAGGGAAAGTTAAGTCTGAGAGTCTCTTGTTCTTTTTTGTCCCACCAGGTGGGGTGAAATTTACAGTGCTATGTCAAAGAAAACTCTTTGAAGACAATCAGTCAGCACCCAGCTGCACTAAAACTAAAAGTGTGAAGAAATCCAGTGTGCTGGATGAAGTTGCAACCAGTCCTGTGGCAGGTACAGTAGTATGATCAGAGACTGAGACTCACTGGGCAAAGACTAAGATAAAGAGCCTAGAATAAGGGACTGAAACTGGGGCCCTGGTTGTGAGGGACATGCAGAGATGAGGAACCTGTATGTAGCCTGTCCCTGCAGTAGGGGGAGAGACGTGACCTGTCGCTGTGGGGAGGGAAGGAGGGGATGAGCTTGACTCAGCCCTGTGGAGGTGAAGAGGGTGTGACCCAGCTCCAACCTGGCCCTATGGGGGTTGGAAGGGGATGTTGGCCCAAGCCACCCCCTGCCAGGGAAAAGGGGACATGACCTGGCCCCTCAACCCCAATCTGCCCCTCAAGGAAAAGGGGGCATGGCCCGGCCCCACATGAGGAAGGGTCCATGGTCCACAAGAGGAAGAGGGCATGAGCCCTGCGGGGGCAAGGGACATGGCCTGGCTCTGACCAGGTGTGCAGGGCATGGGGGCTAGGAATTTGGCAGGGGGAGGGTGTCAGTATTAAGGGCCACTGCTTCCTTACTGCCAAATTCCCTGATGTGTGAGGAGCCCCGCAGGCCACATTTGGCCTGTGAACCAGAGGTTTAACGCCCCTGTTATAGAGTATTACAGTATACTAAGTAGAGTACTCTGAAAAATTAGGCCCTCCGTTTTCAAACTGCATATCCAATATTAGATATGAAACTGCTCTGTACCTCAGTTTCGCATCCATAAAAGGGGACTAATGCTCGTTTGTCAGAGTTATAAATATAAATGCATTTTTATAGAGAAGGTAATCAACATACTACTATGGATTACTAAAGAAAGTAGCTCAAGTAGTAGAAGTCTGCATTTTAGAAACTGAATAGCAAGGATTCTGATTTCCTGTCTGTGTGGCTGTATAAATTATCTAGGTTACTGTTTGTAACTAAGGGTGCAGCACTGATAGACATTTTTGGGGTCAATACTGATAGCCAATTTTTAAAGAGGCATATCAGCTGATACCAATCCAATTTCCGATACACAGCCTGGCAACTTGAAGAGCAGTGTCCGGCTGGTAAGTTTGTTGTGGTGGGAGGGGAGGGGAAAGGGTAGGGGCGTGGAGGGTGGGGGCAGATCGAGGCCACTGCGGTGAGGGAGGGAGTGGGGCTGGGGCTGAGGCAGGGCCTGGGGCAGGTGCTACACAACCAGGGCGGGATTAGGCACAGGGCAGAGCCACAGCTCATCTGGAGGTTGCAGAGGGGTGGGGGAGGGAGGGCGGCTCCCACAGCTGCACGCACCCCGGGAGGGCATGTGGGGTGTGTGCTCCCAGATCTGTATGGGGGAGGGCAGGCTGCCGCTATGGGCTGGGCCCGGGGTGGGAGCTGGGCCAGGCTGTGATCGGGGTGGGCGGCAGCGGCACTAGGAGGGGGGATACTGGTGGGGGGGCTGCAACCACCTCAAAATTCACTGTAGGCCCCCCAACCTCCTCTCCCAGCATCACTGCCTACCCCGAGTTCATCCTGGCCCAGCCCCTGCTGCGAAGAGCCTGCCACAGCCCCAGTCCCAGCCCACAGTGGAAGTTCGCCCCGCCTCGCACAAATCTGGGGCACATGTTCCCCATGCCTTCCCGGGATGCCCCACTCCCCAGCTATGCAGCCCCTGTCTCAGCCCCTGCCTCAGCCCCAACCCTACTCCCTTCCTCACCGCAGGGACCTTGATCTTCCCTCCCCACTCCCCTTCCACCACAACAGACTTACCAGCTGGACACTGCTCTTCATGCTGCCGAGATGTGCTCCTCGCCACCTACATGCTGCACTGCGGCTGTGTGCATGCACGGGTCACGTATCGGCCACATCAAGCAAAAAGAAAGCCAATTTCCAGTTTGGTCAATTTTCTTTATGTTGGTGCCGATCTGATATCAAACCAATGCATTGGTGCACCTCTATTTGGAACATATGGATATTGCTTGTGTTTTGTCAAATTTCCACCTAAATAGTTGCTCCTTCTGGCTCCCTTCCAGTGTCAATTGAGTAGAGTTTTCTTCTCTTTCTGTCCTAAACTACTGTATAGTGTTGCTGTAAATAGTTGATCCAACAACAGCGGACAATCTTATGTCCCTAAGAAACATGTGTTCCTATTGCTAAGACATTGGCTTTTGTTTTAAGTAGGGAGATTCTCTAGTTCTAAGCTAACGTACATTTTTTTTCCTGTTTGGTAGGACATTAAAGATTTCCTGGAGCCTTTGTTAAGAGTAGTTACTTCCTTAAGCGTAGTGTAGCGAATGGTTTTTGTTTGGTGCTAGGGGTATATTATTAGATTACATTAGTCATTTATCACTATTATATATTCAGTGCCAATAGCAGTGTAAGGGTGCCCTAGTAACGTGTTGCTCCGGAATGTTTTTTTGGTGTCATAGGAGGTGTCATCTGAATAGATGTTAGGGGATGTGTTACCAGGGAAAATGTTGGGGAGTTGCTGCTGGTAGTGTTGTTGCAAACAAGTTTCTACTGTACTCAGATGTATTTCTTATCTTACATTCTTCTACTGGATAAATTTTGCCCCTTGCTATGCCAAGGAGGAAAGCATGCCTAGAGAGCCTCTTTCCAGGTGCTCCTATTGGCCTTGAAAAACTCCAGTGCTGGTAGAGCTGATTAGCCCAGATTCAGCTGCTGCTTCCTGTGCTGGAGCCAGCCAGCACATGTGGAGAATTTTTTATGCCATAATCATTGGAGGAGGGAATTGGCTGTCTGTACTCCCATCCCATGACTGCCATTGAGGCCCATCAATGACATCCCCAGCTGAAAACCACTGCCTTACTAGCTACAGTCTTCTGTACAGTGAAGTCAGTAACTACCAAGAAAACAAGTTAGGTTGGGCTTGTTAACAAAATGCCACTTGGTTATCTTCAGTTTCTGTTAATTATTAGTTATTTCCTAGTGGTGGTAGTGTATATTGATTGCTGATAGTTCTTAGTTTATACAAGACCTTGAAAGATGTACTTGTGCCTTTGTAGTGCTTTATTTCTGGTTCACATACTCTGAATGCCATCCCTGCATTATAGCCCACTATCAATTTATTTTGTTCTAGGTATTTTGTGCTTATTCAGATTAATTTTCAGGTGTCTTAGACCACACAAAATGAGTTGTATTGTTTAAAGAGAAATCTCACGTGTTGAAAATTACATTACCTTTGATTTTTCTAAACATTTACGGCAATATTTTGACTGGTCTTACAGGATGAAATGAAAAAGGAAATATGACTAACCTTCATGCATTTTGTTTAGGTCTTTTAACAGATGAAGTTGAACTATATGAGAGAGAGTCTGGTTTGCAGAATTTACCTTATCGATCAAGAACAAGTGTCTCACCTTCAGTAAGGTAAGAATGTCCTCTGTTTAGCCCCTCGATATTGTTGCTGGATAAGTGTCATTCTTATAAATATACAAGATAATAGACTTACTACTATGGCGGGCAAATGAGGTAGCTCAAGGGATAAAAGTGGATGTGTAATGGGATATGTTCACCTGTGTTAGAACTGAAGGTAGTTGTTTTTCAAGGAGTTTCATGATTATACTCTGATTATAGGGACTGCCAACTCTGTCTGTTTACATTCGTGTTTGTTGGAGTTATTAACTGTTTAAAAAGGAACCAAAAGCATTAAGATCCCCTTTAGACCAGGGGTGTCAAACTCATCTAGCCCTTCATGAGGCTGGTCCATGGGCCAGATCAGGCTAAGAGACTACCCACTTCAACCCTCCCTTCTCCACGTGCCTGAACGAGTACACATGGCACCCCCCTGGTCTGGTCCAGGACTCTGACCTGAGCGGGCACTGCAGGAGGTGCAATCTGGAAGCTAGGCACTGTGGGCAGTGGACATGCTAGGCACTGCATGTAGGGCCATTCTGGAGGAGTATGTGGGTCAATGATGCGGAGCTGTTCATGGGGGGCTGCTTGTAGGCGGGGAGGCAGGGAGGCTTTAGGCAGCTGTGCCAGGGTCCCAGGCCCACTGTGGTAGGCAGCTGGAAGCCTGCACTAGGGTCCACGAAGCCCCGGCCTGGCTTGTTACATGCATGCACCAGCGTCCCTGCTTGGAGATGGCCCAAAACCATAGCTTAATTACCTTGATTAAGCCCAGGGAAGCCATTAATCCACGCATTATTAAGCATCAGGGTGATTAAACCATGGTTTTGGGTCATTTGGCAATCTGCAAAGAGGGATGGGACTGCTGGGGCCCCTTGGCCAATCGGGGGTGGGTCTTCCATGTTCAGCTTATGAAAATGGCAGCCAGCCCTGGGATCTACCCACAAAATTGTCTGGCCACTTCCTCAAGTTTGGTAGATCCATATTTATGTGCAGTATGAAAAAGATCAGAAATATCTACAGAGATGAAGAACTTCAAAAAGAAGGTTGAATTGTTCCTACAAATAGAACACACTGATTCTATCTTAAATGTTTTTTAGCAAGTGGAAAACCAGTTGTTAATGGATCTGATATTAAATACCACCTTGCTTTGATTATAACAATAGGAAGAGTATACTGCTTTGAGCTGTTGGAAACTGAATGCTTGTTACGCAAACGTGAGTGGTTTCACAGTAGGTTTTGAGGGGCTATTGATCTCTTGTTGGAATTTCTCTAGTGTTTCTAAATCTGACGTCTCTGTTGTCTTTAACAATTCTCATTTCTGCTTGTTAGACTAAACAGACATTTCCTTAACATATACAATACATTATAGTTCTTGCCAATTGAGCTGTTTCAGTCTGTCTTTTCTCTTTTAATGTGAAAATAAAGAACTTCACAAAATGAGGATAACATAAAAACTCAAGAGCTTCACACCTTCATAAAAAGGTTGTTCCCTGATGAGCAGGGGCAGATCCAACAGGGTTTGGCGGTGCAATTCCACCACCCCTTAATTGCTGGTCTGTTATTCAGGATCTGCTACAGCTTACTAGTAATTATTCACAGACATTTTCACATGTGGGTCTGCTCAGCCCCAGTCTTTGACCAGAGACTTCTTATGCCTAGCAGTACTTTCCAGCCTAACTTCTGTATGATTTATGATCTACTCATAGTGCATGCTCCATGGGTGCAGGTGGAACACATTCCCTTTAGATTCTCTCAGCTGCCTACCTAAGGTGGCAGCTTGCATTGCAGCCTTGCATGTCAGCCTTAGCCTACTGATCCATATTTACTCAGTTTGCTTTCTCCCTTTATTATCTTTCATAGCTACTTGTTCCCCCTTTTTCAAAACTTCCCTTTTTGCAGAGGCAGGGGGAAGTGGAGGTGGGCCTTGGAGCTTGCTGCTCTCACTGCTTCAGTGTTTTTTCAGTTTGTGCTATTGAAATCCAGTCAAAAGCATTATCATCACTAACATTTCTGCCTTTGAGTCTTGGATCCAAGAGATTTGCAGCAGCATAGATTGATTGGCAACAAAATTCTTACCATCTGTTAATAAAGTCTTTCACTTTTCTTCTGTACGTGTAAGCGGAAATACACTTAGATTTTCAAAAACAGTTGATTTTATCTGGGCCATTTGGTAAGGAACGTCTGACAAAAGAGCACTGTCTGATTCAGATGCAGTGATTGCTGAAGAAATTGGCTTTCAAATCTTTAGGGAGTTCTGCAGCTGAACCGAGAAGACATCCTCATCAAGTACAGTGTTCCTTATACTTCCGGGTACTTTAAGATCCTCATTTATTACTGTTTCTTGAAGAGTTTCTTTGTTTTTTAGTAAACTTTCCAATGAGATCACTCTACCCTATCTAGTTTTACTACAGAGTTTGTGTCATTATTTTATCCTTTGCATTCTTTTCTTCCTGCTTCTTCTTAAAGACTACAGCTACAATATGAGTAGCTTTTACATGTTTTAGAACTTCCTTTGCTCTTCTAAAGATCTTTTTCAGAATGTCCAACTTCGTGATGTCATTAAGAAGCAAGTTTAGCCCATGTAATGCTCATCCTGTTGCAGTAGTGTGGATATTTATCCATTATGATCTTCCATGCTGCTTTCATGTTACTTGCATTGTCAGTCAGCAAAGCAAACACTTTACCACTTCCAATCCTCTGTAGGACTTCACATATTTTATTACTGATCTACTCTGCAGCATGCCTGTTCTCTCCTGTTTCAATGCTTCTGTAAAAAAAACTGATTGAGGTGCTGTTATCACAAAGTTTATGATTCCTTCTCCCTGCACATTTCTTCATCCATCTGTAAGTACTGCAAGACACAGTGCTTCATTGATTTTTCCTTGCACAGATTGCATTACACATTCATATTCTGACTCTAAAAGAGTCTTGCTCAAAGAATGTCTGTTGGGCAAATGGTATGATGGTCTTAGTAATTTAAAAGCTTCCTACCAGTATGCATTTTCAGTTATTGACAATGGCATCCCAGAAGAATATACTGCTCTTGCAAGCGTTTGGTCAATTTTTTCCTTATCTTCAGGTATCATCTTTGTCTCTAGTGGGTTATGGAATAGAGAAAATCCCACACAATTTACTGATTCGTTTTGATGCACTGGCTGGGGGAGTAGTTAGCTGATTGCACGATTTCACAATGATTACACACTTAATTTATACAACACAATTTTATTTTAAAACTCTTTGCTACGTATATAACACTGCTTAGCTTTAAGAAACACCACAAACATTAAAAACACAATAATTACATATATCAGAAACAATGCTCCGAATGCACTTCCTTCCCAAACAATGCTATAAGAATTAGTGTTACAAAAACAACTACAATTACAACTAAAAGTTAAATTTGAATCAATACTGTTATTTTTCATAATATACTTACAATCCTAGAATTCCGAGAAGCCAAATACCAAAATATGGTTTCATTCCTCAGTAGTACGATTTAATGGGTTGGCCTCAGTAGTACGGTTCAATAGGCTGGCCTCAGCAATACGATTCAATGAGCTGGGCTCACCAGTGATAGGACTACGTCCCCTTCCTTCAGTCCCTTTCGGGCGCTCCGCGGCTTCAGCGTGAACTAAGAGATTCGTGTTCACGGAGAGGCTTGATTAGGCGATCAATCTAATCTGAACTTATACTTGCGATTCTTCCTTCGTTGTTCTGCAAGTGAAGTCACCTCCAAATTGGGACAGTAAGTTTCTTTGTAAAAAACTTCTAAAGATACAATTTAAATTAAGACTTTAAGTGAAGTCACGACATTTCGCACGTAGCTCCAAAACAATGAGCTAGATAAGGAGATAAATCCTATCTTCTTCCTGAAACTGGCTAATGGGCAACCTTTACAAACATTCAAACTATTTCATTCAATATGACAATCTTGTCTACAAATGAAGTGATTGAGAGTCTTTTGTATATAGTTGGTTGCAATATTTGGTTGCTTCACGATGTTGATTGGGCAACCCTCTGTGATGCTGATCTTATAGAAGTAGCAGCAGCAGCAGCAAAAGGACTTCTGGATTGAGAATGTTGGAAAGAGTTACTTGCACTTTCATCATTATGATCTACCTCCTCCTCACTTACACCCATAAAGAATTTTTTAATGTCTGCAGGACACTTCTTACATACAAGGATGTGTTTGGTCATCCTAGTAGCATTTGGAAATGCATTTTTCATTTGACAGTATTTGCAAATCACATTTTTTTCTCAGAATAATTTGCTGTGTGGAAATGCTTCCATATGCTAGAAGTTGATCGCACCATTTTGCTGAGGGAGATAAATGTAATTTACTGGCTAGCTTGCATATATAAACACTAAGCTACAGCATATACAAATTTAGCAATGGATGAAGGAGAGGCCTCCTCAGAGTTAACTGTCAAAACTTCCCTGCCTTGCAGGCCTCACCTCACTGCTAAGGTTGGGTGATTTGTCACAAAACATCAGATCAGTAGGAATTCAATTATGAATTACATAGATTATGAAAATATACTAATGCAGCTAAAATATAGTTTAATATACTGAATTCAGAGAAATTTAAGCACTTACCTTTCAATAAAGAAGTAAACTTTCTTTTAGCTCCTTTGTGCTGCTTCTGTACTTCTGTGCATCTCAAGGTCACAGGGCCAGGAGGAGGCAGGTTCCTTCCAACTCCCAGACCTTTAGACTTTAGACCTCTCCTTTCCTGAGGCTTTTGAGCAAGCAAGGCAATAAGCTCCTTGTTTCTAATCTCTACAGGAACGAATGGATGCTGCTGTCAGTGTCCACTCCCAGTCCTTTGAGGCATGAACGATGTCTGGCCCCAGAGGCTGGCAGGGCACAGTGATCGCCCACAGGCGGTGGCAGTGGTGTCAGCAGCAGGGGCATGGCAACAGCGAGCGGGGACCACTCATAGATGGCCGCAGCAATGTCAGTGGTGGCGGCGGGGAGGGTGATGAGCAGCGAGCGGGGACCGCCCGCAGCTGCCG